TGAGATCAACGAAGAACACAATGAACATGTTACTATAAGTAAACATTCAACATCAACAACATTTTGATGGTTATCACGAGCCACAACTAAGCTTTGCATTTTCTCTCTGACGAAATTTATTATAAAATTATTGTAAAATCGGTTCTTGAATTGTATACATATATCTGTGTGTACCGACAAACTCCATTGAAACTCTTTTCTTTTTTCATGATAAATCTTGATGAAAAGTGTTACAATAAAACAAGTGCTCATGTATTTACTTTTGCATCTTCACTTTCTCTCTCTAAAAATGGGTTTCAGATTATGTTTGTGGGAGCTTCTTTTCGGCATTATTAAAAGGGTTACTCGGCCAAACCTACTCCCAAGATTGTTTATTTAGTTTTTGCCTCACAGGAGTTTATTTTATAATTAATTCTTGAGATATACATATATCTATACTAACAATTTTTATGGAATCCACGACTGGGTCTTTAGGTTTTCTCTCTCTAGAATTATTCCCAGTAAGAAACATTGCCATAGGATGGACCATGAGTCACAAAAAAAAAAAAAGAAGTTATTATTATTATTTAATTAATTGTGGTAGTCAGCAGGCTATATATACGTATATATATATATATATCTGCATATAAATTCAAACAGAGGCAACTTCAATTGTCATGAATGGGTCATGTTGATGCCGACCAAAAGCTGGACAAAACCGAAGATATCCAAATTCACCCCCTGGTCATTGTTTATTTATTTATCTCTCGGCTAAAATAAATTTAATAGATCTTCCTATATAATATGAAGTCAACATATATTGTTCATTTATTTATCTCTCGGCTTCATATATATATATATATATATACTTGCATGCGTACGAAACTTTATTAATCACTTGCTGGGTCTTCACTTATGTGTCTTGGTATATCTTGATTAGATTAAACATTATTATTTGGCACCACAATAAAGGACGACTTCAAGAGTTACATTGTTTTATCTAATTTTAACTTCTTGTTTATCACAATTATTAATTGAATATGTTTTCCGCAACATCAACATAAATTATTCTTAGAACGCGGGCAATTATTACTTTAGTATAATTTAAAATACCTCCTAGCATTCAATCATTTCTCTCATCTAATAAGTGCACTCGACAAAGCCAAAAGTTACCAAGCATCACCATCTTAACTCTTAACAAAGACAACACTACAAGAACAAGCCAACCAAATGCTTCAGCAAGAAAGAGCCAAGATGAGTTGCCAACCATTGCCAGTGAAGTTCTTAGCAAAACCAAATCCAAAGAGATGCCGACCAAGTGTTTCGGCCCACCGCGACGCTAAGAAAAATGGCCGATCAAAAGATCGGCACAATCACAGACCCAAGTATTGCTGACCAACTTCTTGGCAGTCACATTATATATACGATGGACACCGATGTTGTTTCGCAATCCACCAAGGCTGTACGACAACGCAACATGGCTGATTCGACAACTTTACATTTGTATACGATGTTGGAGCCCATGCATATGCATTTCGGCAGTGCCGTAACTTATAACAAATTTCTCGGCACAACTACAAAGTTATTCGGCCGATCTTTGACGCCGAGCTCCATTCTTTGGCAACGAAAACGGCCCCGATTATTCGTCGCCGAGTGCTTACCCAACAACGTGAACCACCAAGCTATTTTGCCGAGTACATTTCCCCAACAAGTACATTCTTCCACCAACTACATTTTTTGCCGAGGACAAGAGCCGAACAAAAACAACAACAAAAAGAAGTAAAACCACCTTATTGGTGAACATTGGGAGGTCCGCCGGTGTCCGAGCAGTGGTGGAATGAGGCGTACGACTGATGAAATGAACACTAGGCAACGAGCTGAATTCAACGCCGCAAAAATGAGGCAAATCGAACTTAAAACAAGGGAGATACAAAGGCTCAAAGTTAGGAGTTTGAAGCTAAAAAAAATAAATAAATCTGCTTTTCACGTTATCTTGCATGGAGAAGATGACATAAGAAGTTATTGTGCGCTTCTCGGTGCAAGGTGCGTCGTTACATCTTAAAGTGTTCGGGTTAATCGGGTGGTCCGGTGACTTCGGGGGTGACTACCCGTAAGTTTTTCACCGTGTAGAATCCATTTTTAGAGTCCAATTTGGAAAATTCTTAGCCGCATATTGAGATCAATACATCGGCCAATCGGGAACATTAAATGCAAAATCAACGGACAAATCATATCCGATCGGCATGCAATTTCACCAGTAGGCTCTTGGAGCTAGGTCATCAACCACCATCTGGGGCAGAACCCACAACTTGAACTTCTTCACCATTTGTCATCTTCAAATTAAATAAATAAATAATAAAAAGCAAATCAAACAAATATATATATATATATATATATAACCAAGCAATAACTCAAGTATATTTACAATTATTGATTCATTTATCTCTTCTGTAACAATCTCATGATTTAATTCTCAAAGTGCAGCCATTTTTGCTCGGCTCTCCCTACTCGGCAACATTATTCGGCAACATGGCTTATTCGGCTAACTCCCTACTTGGCAACATTATTCTTGGCTTATTCGGCTAACTCTCCCTACTCGGCAACATTATCCCCACCATTATTCGGCAACACTTGAAATTATTATCACATGCAAATCATTCGGCTACCAACTTGAATCCGCACAAGTTTGCTTTCCAAAATTCCGTGGCCATAACATCGTCATCAAGCTCAATGGCACTGCTAATCACGGATGGCACATGTATCGTATATCGAATGCATACACAATCTTGCTCAGTACTAATATCTTGGCATAATACTCGCATCTCAGCTTGTCGAAATCCACATCTGAAAATACTAGCGGATTCGTGTCAATTCAAGGAGTCCAAACCCACCGACCCGAGGAGCCAAGAGCTAACCAAAGGTCGCCAGTAGTTGCGAAACGGTCCCAATTTTCAAAGTTGTCGAACTCAATTTTTGATCATCCCAATGTGAAGTACTCATCGAGACGAATCCAAAGCAACAAACCGCGTCAAAATCGGTACTAAAACGAAGTTGTATGGACCAATCAACGTTTGCCCAGAAAATGAATTCTATCGCTGGAGAAGATGACCCAGCAAGCAATGAAGAAATAATCCTGTGCTTCGCACACTACAACAAAAATAGTCTTTAGAGACGAAAACTAATGACGGAATTTTTTTTTGTCACGAAATACGTATCTTTTAATGACAAAAATCATATTTCGTCTCCAAATGTACCATTTTTGGAGACAAAAAAAAAATTTCATCACCAATCTAAATCATAAAAAAAAAATTAGGTGACGAAATTATTTTTCGTCATTATTTATAATTTTTTTTGTCACCAAATATTTTCCCGCTAATATTTTCGGAGGGTGCCAAAATTTTGAGACTTTTAGTGACGAAAAAATTGGTCACCAATTATAAAATTATTAATGACGAATATATTTTTGTCACCAATAATTTTTAATATTTTAATATCATTTAGTGACAAAACGATTTTTGTGGCCAATATTTCTATCTTTAGTGAAGAAATAATTTTGTCACCAATAAATAATTTAGTTACTAAATATTTAGGGGGAAAAAAAATGTTTTGGCGCCTCAAACACACACACAATAATTTATCGGTTCAAACCTATTTCACACACACACACACACACACACACACACACACACACACACACACACACACACAGAGGCGACGCCGTTGCTCACTCTCCTCATCGATTCAGACACAGATTCATCGCCGATCGGCTCACTCTGCTCACCGCCGTCACCCTCTCCTCACCATCGCTGATCTGCTGTAAGTAATGGCGCAAGCGCATAACATTTGTTCATACTCGAAATGTTTCCTTTTCTCCTTTTCATCAATGATTTTCATGAATTTACCATTGTGCATAAACAGAACCATTTTTAAGATCCAAGTAAATTTAGAAATGTGAGGTTCAGCCCTAATATCTATTTGCTCTTTTAATCGTTTTTGGGGCAGTGATTGTACCTTTTTTTTTTTTTTTAATCTTTTTTTTTAATATATAGGTTTCAATTATTTTTCCGGCCATGGCATTGAAGCCAATTTGGTAATGATATTGAACTTATGGTATACACAGCTTGCAAAATTTGATTGTGTTTGGCCAGTTTGGCTGATGGGGAAGTAGGATAAAAGAAATTTGTTTTGGTGGGTTTTTCTGTTGGAGAATGAAAATCGTTTAAGGCTCTGTTTGGTGAACAGTATCTGGAAAGTGGCTTTGGATAGGAAGTTGTCAACTGTTCCAGGTGATTTATTTGTTTCACCGATTTAGTTGTCGATAACTTCATGTGTCTTGCTTAGTGTTTAATCGTTTTATACAATCAGTCCTAGGAGAGTTGTGTTAGATAATCTGACTAACAATCGACATGTAAAAATTCCTGTTAGATCCGTTTTGAATATGAATCTTAATATGAATATGCGAGTAAACAGTAATAAAAGCTCTTGACATACCAGAATAACAAAAGGAGGATTCACATAGCAATCACACTTGATTGAGAGGCTAGGTTTAGTTTAATTTGATTACTGATTCAGTTGTTAATATTCTATCTCATTGAAGTAATTACGTCGTAGAAGCATATCAATGAATTTATTCTATTATATAAACAAAAATATTGTGAGTCTTTGTAGTGGAAAGTCTCGATGTGTTTTTCTTAAATTTTTTGAATTGCTATAACTTAACTACAGGTTAAAGATCTACAGGTTACAAAGAGTTGTAGCAACAATGTACACAACTAACATCTGGATTTTAAGAAGCAATCTAAAAATTAGACATAACTTAATGCCATGACAGTTGCTTTCAAAAGCTTCTTGAACATCTTTATTCTAAGATGTGGCATGTTTTCTTTTCTAGTGCGAAATTATAGCTTAATGGGGAAGAAAGGAAAGGGTCCTAAATACTTGACCATTGTCTTGGTAGAGTAATCAGTAATGATCCGGGTTGGTTGTGTGCTGATTATGATTTGTGAAATGCTTTTGCTCTTATGGCTAGAGTGGGTAAAGAATTGGGGGTTTGGTTTCTGCCTTTGCAGAGACCTCAAGGTCTCTATTTTATTTCAATAACTAGAGCAGTGAGAATGTCTATTGCTCTGCCCATGGCTCAGTTTTTACCACCCCATCCACATCCCATTAAGGGTGGTTCTAGACAGGTTGGTTTAAGTTTCCATTTCTTACCAAAGTGAGGTGCTGGGAGGAATGACTTAGGTGCTGACCTATTCATAAAATTAAAACTTTTTATTTCACTAAAAGATAAATTAGTTATAAAATTAAAAAAAAATCAATTCAAATAAAATATCACATCCAATTCCATAGTCATTTCACTTTTTATTTCACGAACTTCACATCTAACCACAAAAAAACCCAATATCTTTCAAAGCACAAATTTTTTTTTCTCTAATAATATGAAGATGATCAAAACATCAAAGGTTCCTATCTGACTTATGATGAATACAATCTAGTCATAGTTATGTTGCAAGAAGTTCATTGATGTCCCTTCATTGCTACTCAAAAAATAAAATCACGTGCATGAATGCTATGCTACTATGATGAACTGATCAGAGGAGTTGATCATAAAACATTTAAGTAACATTTGAAGGTTCAACTTGTTACACTTTGTCTGTATCCTATCTTTCCCTCTTTTAAAAATTAATTTTTGGCCTTTTCTTTGCAGAAGAGACATAAGCTTGAATCACACTATTAGATCCTTCAGTAGCGATCTTATTTCTTTACTGGTAAATCTTTCCATATGAAGAAGTATTGTAATGTGTCCAGTTGAGATAATAGTAGGTGCTTATATGATATGGATAATAAATTTTGATTATTCTATTTCTGTGAAGCATTACTATCCAATTATAGTTTACTCTATGGAAAATGACACTAGTAAACAAATGCCTCATTTGAATGTACAAGATATCATAATCCAAACCACCTTAGTAACGACTGCTCCCCCTATAGTAAGCAGTGGCAGCCCAATACTATCGGGGCCTTGGGTGAAATCTCAAATAGGACTCTTATATATATATATATATATATAAATAATATTTATTAATTTATTACATTGTAATTTTTTATTCTATCATTCATTTTCCTTGCATATCTATTTTAGTAATTAATTGGTGTTTACTGTTTTCACCATAGGGATCTTTCGAAGAGGAACAAATTTTTTTTATTGGGCTTTTGTGTAAGAATTTGCTTTCCTTTTTCATTGGGCCTTTCGGATAAGAAGTGTTTTATTAAGTTTTTATTATTGGGGCTCATGAACAAGAAGAACTTTTACTTTGTGGCTTTAGAAGATTACCTTACTCACCTAAGGGATGTGCTGACACTAGAAGTTAACAAATGATCTAACCTCCAGGTCCCTTGAGAGACTCAAATTTGAGGTCTTGAATCTTATCTTTTAAGTTTTTACCACTCGGCTAATTCCTTAGAGTAACTGAAGGTAGACTTATGTGATGATAAACAAAATGTTGTGGTTTGCCCTGCTCATCACTCATGCCTGCTCTCGTGTTTCGATTTCTTGTGTTGTGTTCATTTATGGCCCACAATCTAACTTGTTTATGTTTTCTTATGCCTTGAAAACAATGAAAGAAAGTCCCATGTCACATGGTAAAAAAATAATGTGCAATATATAACCATGAGGGTCTTCTCACCTCAAATAGATAGCTTTTGGGGTTGAGTTCTATCTAAGACAATGTAGCATGGTATCAGAGCTAAAATACTGCGGGATGGGTTGGATGCTTTGGCAAGCCATATGCCATTGCCAATTCCACCATACCATCTTTGTTTAAAGAAGGTTTTATTTCTTTTTGTTCTTCTTTTATGGAATTTATTGTGCATTTCAACAAAGTGAAAACTAGTGAGGTTGCACCAAATTTGCCTTTGGAAGCTATTAAACACTTCCTATTAAATTTCTACTGCATTTGATGTTTTTCATCGTTGTCATCATTGTTTATGTGTGAAAAATTGTTTGACAGGGTGTAGAACAAAATCTAGACAAAAATTGCACAGGTTCTCTTTATTATCCAAAACAAGTACGATTTCTAATGTGCTTGTTTTTGTTCCTTGACTCAACTTAAAAACACAACTTTGCTTGGCATGGTTTTGGCATGATTTTTTTGGCAGTGTTTCTGTCCGCAGTATGCGTTAAAATACATCAGGACACCATTTTTCATCTTAAACTCAGCATATGATGTGTACCAAGTAAGATAAATTAAAGTCCTATGACATATTTTTTTTCAGTGCTTCTGAGGTAAGAGTGAAAAATGAGTACTACTTTCTTATCACAGTTCCATCACATATTGGTGCCACCTTCTGCTGATTTGAGTGGGCATTGGAATCATTGTAGGCTTAATCCAGCGGCATGTAATACAAACCAGAAAAATATCTTGCAAGGTTATTTTTTGTCCTTACATTCTTAAATTTCAATTGCTTTCGATATTCTTTTCTAAAATTTCTTTTTTCTTTTCATTTTTATTTTTAATGATGATTATCTTCAATTTAGAGAGCATACCTCTCATATTAAATATACAACTTTCATAAATTTTGCATGTAATTTTTAATATGTGTTATCCTTTATGATAGACATGTTTATTAAAATTTCTATTCTTCAGGGTTCCGGAAAGATATGCTTGCAGCTTTGAGTTTATTTTTTAAATACTCAAAAAGAGGAGGGATGTTCATAAACTCATGTTTTGCGCATTGCCAAAGTGAGTCACAAGATACATGGCTAACATTAGACTCCCCTAGAGTGCACAATAAGGTTTACAAACTAGCCCCTTTCCTTGGTGGATATGATAGCTTTAATAAGTTGCTGTCATTTTCTAGTCGTGCTTTTCTCCTCTTTTGTATTTGTCCATTTATGAAGCACCAATGACAAGTACATACACTTATGAAATGAATGCTCAGCTCTTAAAGTCTGATCTAAAGTTACATATCCAAAAAAAATTGTAAAACTAGATTGGTATGCGTCATAGTCATGTCAAATATTTTACAACCCATGCATAGAATGATTCAATCCTATGTGTGTACAAATTTAATTAGAAATCATAATCTATGACTGATATAATGTAATAAGTTGACAAAGCATGCCATGGTGTGGTGTTATAGTTCATGACTGAATATTACTTGTTCTATTAGCATAGAATATCTAAGGTTGCCATTTTAGTGATGTGATTAGTCCCTGCAAAAATTTATGCACCATTGACTATTATTAATATCATTGATTTCATCTATAATAATGAGTTTTAAATCTAATGAAGTTTTCATAGTGAGTAACAACCAGTCAATTTCTTACAGACCATTGCAGAAGCAGTAGGCGATTGGTACTTTGGAAGAAGGGTGACCAAGGAAATTGACTGTGCATATCCTTGTGATTCTACCTGCCATAACTTGATAGGCTGAAACTGTAAGGTTCAGTTCAGGTATTACCTTTTGATAAACGATTCAAGCTTGCTAATGATTCTCAAAAATACATTTGGAGTGCATGGACCTTGATTTTATTCATCTAATGCACAATTTTTTGAGTATATTTAAGGTCCGATCAAGGATTTAATTATTAGGTGAAAAATATGAGCAGTTCTTTTTGCGAGAATTGCTCTCTTCTCTTTCTTACAAAAAGGATACAGAGTATTTACAGATAGTTGATGAGAATCTTGTTAGTATATAATGGTATATACCATTTGTACATTTAATCGAACATAGTTCTTCTTGAGAGAATTGCTAAGTCCAAAAATGCACTTTTCCGCACTTTTCCACACTTAAGCTTGAAAATAGGCCTTCGGGGGTCAAAATCGTGCAACAGCCATGAGACGGCCTGGGAAACACCTCAAACACCTCGGGACGGACCAATGTGAGTTGTGGAAACTTACGGAACTAGCACGAGACTCCCGGTTTGAAAACTAAGTCCAAAAATGCACTTTTCCACACTTAAGCTTGAAAATAGGCCTTCGGGGGTCAAAATCGTGCAACAGCCACGAGACGGCCTGGGGAACACCTCAAACACCTCGGGACGGACCAATGTGAGTTGTGAAAACTTACGGAACTAGCACGGGACTCCCGGTTTGAAAACTAAGCCCAAATATACATTTTTTCACACTTAAGCTTGAAAATAGGCCTTCGGGGGCCAAAATCGTGTAACAGCCACGAGACGGCCCGGGAAACACCTCAAACACCTCAGGAGGGACCAATGTGAGTTGTGGAAACTAACGGAACTAGCACGGGACTCCCAGTTTGAAAACTAAGTCCAAAAATGTACTTTTCCACACTTAAGCTTGAAAATAGGCCTTCGGGGGCCAAAATCGTGCAACAGCCACGAGACGGCCTGGGGAACACCTCAAACACCTCGGGACGGACCAATGTGAGTTGTGGAAACTTACGAAACTAGCACGGGACTCCTAGTTTGAAAACTAAGTCAAAAAATGTACTTTTCCACACTTAAGCTTTAAAATAGGCCTTCGGGGGGCCAAAATCGTGCAACAGCCACGAGATGGCCTGGGAAACACCTCAAACACCTCGGGATGGACCAATGTGAGTTGTGGAAACTTACGGAACTAGCACGGGACTCCCGGTTTGAAAATTAAGTCCAAAAATGCACTTTTCCACACTTAAGCTTGAAAATAGGTCTTCGTGGGTCAAAATCGTGCAACAACCACGAGATGGCTCGGGGAACATTTCAAACACTTCGGGACGGACCAATGTGAGTTGTGGAAACTTACGGAACTAGCACGGGACTCCCGGTTTGAAAACTAAGTCCAAATATGCACTTTTTCACACTTAAGCTTGAAAATAGGCCTTCGGGGGCCAAAATCGTGCAACAGCCACGAGACGTCCTGGGGAACACCTCAAACACTTCGGGACGGACCAATGTGAGTTGTGGAAACTAACGGAACTAGCACGGGACTCCCGATTTGAAAACTAAGTATAAAAATGCACTTTTTTACACTTAAGCTTGAAAATAGGCCTTTGGGGGCAAAAGTCATGCAATAGCCACGAGACGGCCCGGGAAACACCTCAAACACCTCGGGATGGACCAATGTGAGTTGTGGAAACTTACGGAACTAGCACGGGACTCCCGGTTTGAAAATTAAGTCCAAAAATGCACTTTTCCACACTTAAGCTTGAAAATAGGTCTTCGGGGGTCAAAATCGTGCAACAGCCACGAGATGGCTCGGGGAACACCTCAAACACTTCGGGACGGACCAATGTGAGTTCTAGAAACTTATGGAACTAGCACGGGACTCCCGGTTTGAAAACTAAGTCCAAATATACACTTTTTCACACTTAAGCTTGAAAATAGGCCTTCGGGAACCAAAATCGTGCAACAGCCATGAGACGGCCCGGGAAACACCTCAAACACCTCAAAAACCTCGGGACGGACCAATGTGAGTTTTGGAAACTAACGGAACTAGCACGGGATTCCCGATTTGAAAACTAAGTATAAAAATGTACTTTTTTACACTTAAGCTTGAAAATAGGCCTTCGGGGGTCAAAATCATGCAATAGCCATGAGACGGCCCGGGAAACACCTTAGACACCTCGGGATGGACCAATATGAATTGTGGAAACTTACGGAACTAGCACAGGACTCCCGGTTTGGAAACTAAGTCCAAAAATGCAATTTTTCACACTTAAGTTTGAAAATAGGCATTTGGGGCCAAAATCGTGCAACAGCCACAAGACGGTCCAGGAAACACCTCAAACACCTCGGGATTGACCAATGTGAGTTGTGGAAACTTATGGAACTAACACAGGACTCTCGGTTTGAAAACTAGGTCCAAAAATGCATGTTAAATTGTATATGTTATGGATAAGATAATAATTGTCTAACTGACATTTTTTTTTTTTTTTTGTGTTTCATTTTTGCAGATTCGAGATTTGATATGGACATGTTTGGTAATTTGGAGGGCCGATGGTAGCTCATTTTGTGTTTTTGTTCATTTTACCTTACATGTATTTTGGTTGTGTTGTAAATAAATATTTTTGTTAGTATTACGAGGCATGTTTGGTAATTCGCCCTTGATATTTTATTTTTGTTGATATTAGTAGACATGTTTTTTTGTTGGATATTAGGAGATGTGTTTGGTAATCTGCATACGGTTGATATTATATTTTTGTGGATATTAGTAGACGTTTTTTGTGGATATTAAGAGACATGTTTATAATCTGCATGCAGTTCATATTGTATTTTTGTGGATAGTGCTAAAATTCGATTGTGATGTTTATGAAAATGAACAGATTTTTGTATTGATTTGTAATAGATATTTTATTGAACAGGTTATTGAAATGCGCAGGGAATTGTTACTGAAAAGAAAAAATTTCGGAAGAAAATAGTATTCTCATTTTCAAAATTTTTAATTTTTATTAGTGACGAAATAAAAAATGTCGCTATTAGTTTTTAAAAAACATGACGAATAATTTTGTCACTAATGATATAGTATGAAACAAATAATTTCGTCACATTTGCTGAATATTTCGTCGCTAAATTGAAATATTTGGTGACAAAATATTTTGTCATTAAATAATTTTCTTTTTTGCTCATTTTAGTGACGAATTTTTTTGTCACCTTAATCCATATCATTGGTGAGGAAAACTTTCGTCACTAAACTATATTTGGTGACGAAATATTTCGTCGCAAAAAACAATTAAAATAAAATATTATTTAGTTTTGGTGACGAAATTGGTGTTTTAGAGGACGAAAAATTCAACATTTGAAGACGAAACATTTCGTCGCCAAAAATGAAAAATAGGTGACGAAACTGTTTTTCGTCACCAGGTACTTTTTGTGACGACGTATAGGCCACGAACGTGGTGATAAATTTTTTTCGTCACAAATCACTTTAGTGACGAAATTTTGATGTTTGGAGACAAAATCAATCTGTCGCCAAAGGCTTTTTTTGTTGTAGTGGCAGTTGCCTTACACCCTGTTGATCTGAACCCTCATATCCATTTTGGCTACAATTACGCCATCAAGAGTTTGATCACAGCGATCCAATAGTCCTTTCCAGCTATCTGACGCATTCCGGGTCCATCCGTACAGTCAAAATTTGCAAATTCGGCTCACAAAAAAAAAAAAAAAATCATTTGCAGATTTTATTCAAAAAATTGAGCGCAATGGCTCACTTCACATACCACCAAGCACCCTACTTTTTCTCGGCTTCATTCCGCTATCGCCACAGCACCGAATAGGGGCACGAAATTCGTTTCAAACTGTTATCGGCCTACTCGGCAATTTTGGCCCAATTCAATTTTATTCTTTTCGAATAACAAATCTTATTCAAAAGCAATGGGGCAAATATACGTTGGACAAGAAACTCAACTTCAATAAATTGGCAACCCTTGCCAACCAAGTTCTTAGCAAATCCAACTCTGAAGGGATGCTGACACACCGCAAAGCTAAGAAAAATCGCCGACCAAAAGATCGGCACCATCACCGAACCAAGTGTAGCTGACCAACTTTTCGGCAAAATCACATTATATATGAAATGGACACTAATGTTTTGACACCAGTTACTCGGCAGTGCATAAACTTTACTCGGCAAGATTATTCGGCACCATTATTAATTCAACATTATGTATGATCATTATTCGGCCGTGCATCAACTTTATTGGTCAACTTTATGCATTGTCAACTTTATTCGGCTAAACAACATTATTGGTCAACTTTATGCATTGTCAAACTTTATGCAGCAACATTGACCATAGTATTCGGCAACTTTATTCGCCTAACAACACTATTTGGAAAAACAATTTCCCATTGGGACATCTTAATCATTTTTCTGCCTTCCAATATGGGTACATCAGCCGATCATCATCTCAGCACCTTTGATATGCATGCATACTCAGCTAACTTGGTACAAACATTACAACATTTACTTGAGTTACACACTCCCGTTCCTTTTCACACCGCTCCAAACAGGCGCCAGTTTTGGAGCAATACATTACACACTTGGCAGGCAACAATTCGCATTTGGTAGTCAGTAGTTCGCATATTGTTGTGCGTCGTCATTTTACCAAAGCCGAATCTTCCCTGCAACATAAGGCAATGGGAATCTGCATTCCTTCTGACTAACACCTGTCATTCGAAAGTAATGGGGCAAGTCTACCTTGGACTAAACGCAAACCGAGCAAAAGGCAAACCGAGCAACTCGCTAATTAAATAGTTGGCCCAATATCTACTTGGCAATTCCTTACAAGCGGAGCAATATTATTCATGATTAACACGTCTACCTCATTCGGTACAAGCCATCACTGACACATGATGCATTTGTAGACACCCCATTTTTGATCGTCCTCAAGACCTGGACGTCATCGTTTGAACACTCGGTGATCATCCATGCTCGTGTTTGTTTTGAGTTCTCGGAGGTCTCGGCTACGCGCCTTGCCTCAAGATCTCTCAACTTGTCTGTTTTGTGCTTGGTCATGGA